AGCACAGTGAATGAATGTAACCCTAAGACACACCTTTATAAAATTTCAGAATATGAAGGATGAAGAGAAGATCTTTGCAGTTTCCAGGCAGAAAAATGGATCACATAAAAAAATTGATAATCAAGAAACTTTGGATCTCTCAGCAGCCACACTGGAAGTTAGAAGACAATCAACATATACCTTCAAAAATTCAAAGAAAGATTTTAGCCTAATAGTCTATATTTAATCAAACTATCAATTAAGTTTGGGAGTACAACAAAAGCATTTTCAGACGCAACAAATCTCCAAAATTTTTCTCTTGTATTCCTTTTCTTAGAAAACTATTGGAGGATGTGCTCCACCAAAATCAAGAGGCAAACTAAGGTAAAGAAGACATAGTATAGAGGAAAAAGGAAGGAGAGACAATGCAGGATTGAGGAGCCAAACCCCAAGCTCTGGAGAAGAAAGGTACCAGGTGATAGCTGTGCAACAGGTTTGGAGGTCACCTGTCCAGATTGGATCAGACGAGAGTGCTATAGGAGACACTGCCCAGGCAGAATAAATGGATAAAGTATATATGATACATTTGAATGTCTTGAGAGATTTAGACAAATAGCCAAGAGTCTGAATTCGAATTAATGATATTTAGAAAACTAAGCAAGGAAACAAACAAAAAACTGTTATTAATACTTGAGAAAACAAAATAATATGCAGAAAAGGAAAATAATCATGGTTCACCATATGCCTCAGCTCCAAATAGTATTTTTGTTGTCATCATAATGTTAAAGCTGAGTAATGATTTAAACTTGTATTCTAGGAGGAGATCTGAGGAAAACAAAAGGGTTGAGAGGAGCATGGGGAGAAGTGACAGAGTTCCCCAAGCCTGAAGATATTGCTGGGTGTGGAGTTTTCAAATTGCTCTGAAGAGAGGTGAACTTTGTAGGGAATGGCTGCAGTATGACAGAATGTCCTAGACACTAGGATCCCAGTTGTGTTACCAGAGCTACTGAATCATGATGGACAGTAAATTAGAGACCCTTCTTATATTTCCAAGGTATCAATGAGCTTTGGGATCCATGTGCCGCCCTAGGAAAGGGAGGCACACAAAGAGATGGCGGATACTGATTTTGCTCCTGTGGGATGTGGGCTGGAGTCAGATACAGTCTAACTTGAAGGAAATGAAGCCAGTGACATTTTGCACACTTGGGTTTAGTCGTTAAAAATCTATATCTACTACAGGAGATAAGGGTGTGGCTGTCCTTACAGAGATTGTTATACTGTCTGTGTGACAATTAGCTTTAAAATCTGCGTCTACAATGGAATATTGCGCAGCCATAAAAAAGAACAAAATCATGAATTTCGCAGCAACCTGGGTGGAATTAGAGTTTATAATACTGAGTGATCGCTCACAGAAACAAAGATCTGAGTATCACATGTTCTCACTCATAAGTGGACCTTGAACAACTACCGTAATACTATAAGAAAAGGATTGACAGTGGCAGGAAACTATGGGGGGAGGGCAGGGAGGGGAAGAGAGGTGGGATTAACGGTAATCAATATCTGTCTGGGGGTGGGAGGGGGCACACCTTATCAACAAGGGTACCTGCGCAATGCATATTTGTATACCTAACCCTTTAAAATAAAAAATATGTAGGAAAAAAAAAATCTGTGTCTATAGTGCAATGTGCACGTATGCATTAAATTTAGCCCGTGCCCCAGAGGTGATCAACGTAAGCAGGCCTACATGAGAAGTGACTTCAGTGGTTAATTGATATTTAAAATGTTGTTACCAATACCAGAGGGTTTGCTAATTAACATAAAAGATATTACAGATTTTTGTTTTGTTTTGGGGGTATTTTTCTTGTGTGTGTGGAAAGAACTGATTCTAAAGACTGAGGGTTTGAAGTGTTGTATGGGTGCTGTCATTCCTGCATAAGGGAGGGAAGAATGTGGCAAGCCCAGCTCTCTAATGCCAAGAGTGTGGCTTTCAGTGGCCAGAGCTCTCTGGGTTTCTGTCCCCTGATCTGAAGAGGGGCGGGTTTGGTCCTGGTATTAGCCCATCCTTGCATCTGCTTTTAGGAGTAACTTCCATACAAAGATATGGAGGGCAGTTCTTGGTCTGCAGAGCAGGTGTGGAGTCTGGAAAATAAATCATTGCTTGTTTGGAAGACTTTGGTCTGAGCCTTGCTTTCACTGTAAAAAACCACCTGTTGATGGAAGAAGGGGAACGGGAACTTTAGGCCCCATGTATAGCTCTAACCATGAGGGGCTGCCAAAGAAGCTGACATCAGACAAATGTCCAAATTGGAGGAGTGTGTATGCAAGAGAGGTGTTCCTAAATCCCAGTTCTGACATCACCCCTTTTCTTGCCCCAGAACCCCATTGCTAGGTAGCTCTCCCCACCTGCAGACTCATTCTCCCTGAGACTGATGGGTGAGGGAGAGGTGGGCTTAGTAGTACTGTGCCCTAGGACAGCACCAGAAAGATTTCGTGGTAGCTCTGGCTTGACTTTGGGCTTCAGCTTAGTGGCCAAATTCTTACCCTCTCCCTAATGATCAAAGTCCTGCCTCTCACCCCAGGCCCAATTTCCTAGAGACTGTCTAGTCTCCTCGAACTTGAATCTTGGCTTTAGCTCCTAGAACCTCATTCCCACAAGGCTGGGCCACTCAACTGTTTTATACCAGTCTCTGGGGGTCTAGAGCCCAGATCCTGAACCCTAAGTCATATGAGCAACCCAGACCCTAAATGCAGAGCTTCCTTATGCCAGCCAGGTGCCTACATTTCTGCCTATTGCCTGGAGCTCAATCTTCTGCATTCTTCAAACTCACAGAGTTATTAGAGGAGTAAATGAGTTAATATATGAAACTCTTTGGCAAATAGTAAACATTATATTTATCCGTCAATTTTTTTTTTAACGCAGGTTTTTGGCAACTTTCTGTGCTCTCAGTGCCTAGGTTTTCTCATCTGTAAACTGAGTATAATAAAAGTACTATTTCCTGAGATAGACATAAGGATTGGATGAGTTAAAACACTATCATAGGTTCACCTCCTAATGCCAGAACCTGTGAATATTAACTTATATGGCAAAATATGGTTAAGTTCAGGATCTTGAGAGAAGGAGCTTATCCTGGATGAACTAGTGAGCCCTAAATGCAATTACAATGTGTGCTTATGAAATAGATACCCAGAGGAGAAGGCACATGAAGGAGATGAGGAGGTGCTGTGATCAGGGAGGCAGAGATTAGAGTGATGTGGCCACAAGCCAAGGAGTGTCTAGAGCTACCAAAGACTGGAACAGATAAGGAACAAATTCTCCCATAGAAACGCAGCCCTGTAAATATCCTACTTTTAGACTTCTGGCCTCCAGAACTGGGAGAGATTAAACTTCTGCTGTCCTAACCCATTTAGTTTGTGGTAATGTGTTACAGCAGCCACCAGAATCTGATACACATACATAACACTCCTGGTAGAGAGTAAGCATTCACTTTGTTAGTTGATTTATTTTAAAAGTACATGGGTTCTATGAAGGTGACTAATAGTAATACTTTAGAAGTGTTTTTCTTATCTAAGAAATTAGGTATTCTCAAGGATGTGTGGAAGGGGGTGTTTTGGAAAGGGAAGGCTAGGTCTGATATATAAGAAAGTGAGAGCTCTGGAACACTTAACTTCAGATTTGGAATTTTAATTGTACCAATGATAGGGATATAAAAATGTAGTCTGGTGAAAGTCAGGATTTTTAGTCTGAATTGGGTCACAGCTGGCCAAGTCATTAGTGGTTAAACTTTCCTCCTTTCCAGTCTCTTTGAGTGGGATATATACTTTGATCGCCCAGGGACATAGAATCCTATTTGGATTTTTAGACCAGTTGTTTCGCCCCTTATACAGCATTGACCTCCCAAGTCCCTGCTGAGTTTGAACTGGATCGTATTTTTTTTTTAACTCAAGGAAAACATACCTGCAACACTGAGAGGAGGTATTCAAGAGGCAGTTTTTGAGGAGTTTGGGTTTTGAACATTCCACTACCAAACCCGATTTTCCTGAAGCTTAGGGTATGAGTGTTGCCCAGATGCTGCTGTGCCTCTCAGAGGGTCAAGGAGAAGGGATCAGATTCTGGGAAATTTAACTGCAAAGTACTGGGAAGCAAGAGTGTGGGCCGACTACTCTGATGGTGAGGAAGACGGGCTACAGGATCCCTGCCAAGACACCCTTATTTTGTCTTCCCCCACAGTGATTTCAGAGACACCAGTGCACAGAGAGACTGAGAGAGTGTGGCATCTTCAGTTCAGTTACTTCTGCTCTTGAGTCATTCAGATCCTCAAAGATGCTCCAACCGCAAAAGGATGTCACAATACATATTTCTCTTGGGAGATTTCTTAGGTCTGATCTTGTAGAAACCATGGTGATTCCATCTTCTTGCTCTGTGCTGGCCAACATGGTAGCCACTAGTCACATGTAGCTTTTTAAAATGTAAGGTAATTGAAATTAAATAAATTCCAAATTCAGTTCTTTAGTCACTCTGTCCACATTTCAAGTGTCCACTAGCCACATGTGGGTAGAGGCTACCAGATGGAACAGTACAGATCAAACATTTATATCATTGCAGAAAGTAAAACAATGGGCAGTGATATTCTAGTTATCCAAGATATAAGTTGACAGTATCAGATTTATGGAGCAGTCAGCCAGGGAAATTGTACCTATAGCCAAATGCTCTCATTACCATCAGCTAATGAGTACTGCAGGCATCTGCAGTGACCCTATTTAAAAATACACACATAAGTGTGGCGGCCCAGGTACTAAGAAGGTTGAGGCAGGAGGATCACTTGAGCTCAGGAGTTCGTGGTTACAGGGCACTATGATTGTGCTTGTGGATAGCCACTGCATCCTAGTCTGGGCAACACAGCGAAACCTCACCTCTAAACAAAAACAAGACCCCCAAATATGCATATCTACATAATAGAAAAAACAACACACCATGGTTTGTGGCAATTCTATACATTTTAAAAAAGTAATCATCATGTCACTTTTAGTCTCTCTTTTGGAGGATGTTATTTATTGTAAGACATCATTTTTATTAAATACACTGTAGTACAAGAGACTTTCCATGTCAGGTTGAGAGAAGCTGGTCACATGATTTACAAACAAAACTTTTTTTTTTTTAACACTGTATTCAGGTGTCACTTTGAAGTCAGCCAAGATGCAGTGGGTCTTAGTAAAGCAATGAACTCAAAACAGATTGCAAAACAAGAACCGGTAAGTATTGGCACAGAGACGTCACATTAAAAGGAAAATAAACCAAATGAAAAGATAGAGAGTTCCAAATACCAGGTCACAATTGAAGGGGAAATAGATCCGCAGAGAGATATTGAAATATGTGTGTATACGGCCCGGATATATACAAACATCTCTCCAGATACAGAAGCAAATGCAGAGTGTCCACATCTCCAGGCAGATTTGTAAGTCATAGGTAATGATCAAAGAACGCAGGGAGCAATAGTTCACCATAATTTGGTCATTTGTCAAGGGATTACATATTTAAAATCCACATTTAATTTGAAAACCTTGTATTGAAAACATTTCCAGCTATTTTATACATTTTTAAGCAGTAGTAAGATACACAGGCTGCAAGATGTAGGCCTTTAGATTACATTTTCTCCAACTTTTTTTTCTTGCTCAAACACGTGGTTGTTAGCAGCTTTTGTGAGGCTTGCTCCAGTACATTGAACGTTCAGCCAACCTCCACTCAGGACCATTTTCATTAATGCATAGACCAAAGAAAGAAAATAAACATGGACCTGGCCTTGAACGCATAGACTGAAAAATGACATCCCCATCTTTTCCCATTTCGTCTCCTGAGACGTATGTTAAGATGGCAAAATAGTTGCTTGGTGGTGATTATGAAATTCACAGTGTTTTGCTTGCAACACATATACATATATATATTTTTTGCTTTGCTTTGTGTTTGTGATGAATGGAGCAAAAATATATGAATAAATAAATAAATACATAATTCAATAAATAAAGGTCAAAGGAAAAGAAGGAGGAAAAGTACAAAAATAAGGATATTCAAGAACCTTTGACTTGAGCAGCAGTGATTCATTCCCACCCTGACAACAAGAAAATACCCCTTCCTGCACCATCATTTTAACTCTAAATCCCTCCCACCCCTCATTCTTTTGATTAATGTTGGAAATTCGTGTACAAGCTATCACAACCTCAGAATCGCCATACTCCAATTTTGCGTGCGAAATTGGCTTTAACTGCTAACTTAGACATTTGGGGAGTGGGGTCACTAATCATTCCTCTCAGAGATTTCCTGTAACGATGACATATGGTCAAACCAAAGGTCAACACTGAAAACAAAAGTCTTCAAATGGGAGAAAAACAAAAATTAAAAAAAAGGGGGGGGAGCAAGAGAATCGAGGGTATGTGTATATACACAGTCATTTAATTAGGTACAATTTAATATTATTGGTATTATAGGCTATCTAATTTGCAAAAAGAAAGGCAAAACAAATTAAAAGTCTAGCCTTGACCAGGAAATCCTCTTGTCGTGATACTCTGCAACGGACAGCATTCTAAATTGTTGGTTGGTACATTCATACTCAGATGTGGAAATTTCTAAGAGTGACTCATCCCGCTGTGAGGTCTTGGACTTCTCACCACTGGTCTTCAAGACACTGGGCTCCCAACATTCCAGTTTACATCTGGAATGCTTGAACTCCGAACATAAGTGTAAAGGGATCACAGTGGGACAAGGACAAGGTGAGCATAATACAAACGTACAGAAAGGCAAAAGAAATCAATTTCCCTTTCCTGGACCTTGACATAAGGTAATCTACTTCAGTCTGCATTTTCCTTTGTAAGGAGCCAGAGAAAGGACTCAACAAAGTGGGATGGCTTTTATTCGGTTGTTTAGGGAAGCACATTCTCTTCAATATGTCTTCCACCTATGCAGTACTACATAGAGTTTAATGTGTGATGTAGTCCTACCCACATGGAGAACGGAAGCACTAACAGCAACATGACATTAAAAAGTTTTGGTTATTTAGCGGATTTTAAGCAAATTATTCATTCTGCACCCTACGTATAATTAATTATCTCTATTATTGTATGCCTATAAATTTATACATAAACACACAAACACACTATGCCTGTGCATTTGTAGATGTATAAATCAAGTATTTATAACACACATATAAATACATGAAAACATCACAGGTAGCGCTGATGTGAACACATGTATAATATGAATTCAGATATAATCTTTTATAGCATAGTTCAAAGTGTTTTCTAAAGAAGCCTGATTATGACATTGGTTCAGTGTACAAGGATTTAGCTGAAGCTAAGAGCATGATTATATATCACGATATCTCAGCTGCTTGTCATCTCATCTATTTCCATTTCTTCTTCTAACATCGCATCCTGCTTCATGAATTTGTTAGCATACTTTCTTTCCTGAACTGCTTGTTTGTATATTAGAGTCTCTAGTGCACAGAATCATGAAGTTCAGAGTGAGAGTACTTGGATTCAGTCCCAGTGGTACCGAAAGCTAGATTGGAGACTTCCAGTGTGACTTGGAGCTTCTCTGAGTCTCAGTTTTCTCACCTATAAAAAATAGGAATAATTTGCTACCACATGTGAAAAGTGTTTGGAAAACTATTAAACAATTTATAGATGGAAATGATTGTCCGACTGTATTTGAGCTAGAGAATTGAATTTGCCACTGCTACTGTTGTGGTATTTAACAGGTTTGATGGCAGGCCGCATTTGGTGACCATTATATTTTAGAACAAGGATGTTACTTTTCTAAAAATTAGATCATGAGAAAGGGGGGTGGTGAAGGAAAAAGCGACGAATGTTTTAAGATATATTGTAGCTCATTCGGTTACTTTAAAAGCAATCCGATATTCTTTCAGTGAGAGACGTCTCTGAAAATTAGCACACACTCTTGAGACAACAGAGATAGTAAGAGTAATAATAATAATAATCAGCAATATAAATAACTATAAAACTTTGCACTTGCATAGAACCTTTCATTTCAAGACCTTGAGGGACTTGTCAAAAGGTGTAAGGAGATTTTGTTTTTTTGTTTTTTGCTTTTTGCTTTCAGAGGAAAACATAAAAACTGTAATGAAATGCTCCCATCTTCTCATCTGCCTCAAACAAATCTTCGCTCTAAGACTGCACAGCCCTCCTTGAATTTGGCCCCTAGAAGTATTCCCTCTTTTGCTCTCTTAAAATAAAATAAATAACTTGCAGCTTCGTCCCCCAGAGCAGCTGGCCACACATGGCATCTAGAAAAGTTTTTGTACAAATCTGCCCCTTCCTTACTGTTTTCCATAGTTCCACAGTGTTTTAACAGTACCATGGTTCCTTAATATGATATATACGTGTGTGTATATATCATGGAGATATGGCTTTCATTATATTATTATTTGTATTCTGGAGGGTTTTTTTTTTTTTCCGCCACCAAAGAGAACAGACAACTTGACTCACATCTCTCATCGGCCAGTGCTGAATTTGAAGGATCTGTAAGGTTCATCTTGTCCAACCCCCTGCTTCACTGCAGATGCTACTGGATTTCCTTTTGTTCTCTGTTAATTTACACTTTTGAATTTTTGAGAACTGGCTTTCAAAACCTTTAATGGAAAACAAGATGTTCCAGTAATTAGCAGGTGCAAGCAAAACCTAAAACAGAGCTATTGCACCTTCAGAAAAATAAAAAAAATAAATAAATAACTTGACCTAAGAGGAATTAAAATCACTCCCTTTCAATCTGGCTCATGTTATAAAGATGTCAAGTTTAGCAAAAATTCCCCTCACAGAGGGTAGCAAGTTTTCTTGAGGAACAGAAATATTTTTCTTCCTTGGTAAATCTGACCATCCAAATAACTGTAAATTTCTACTTAAATTTACACCCTCTTTTTGCAAAACCAGTGACTATGCCCCAAAGCACATCTCCAATGCTTGGTCTGGGCACAGCCTCGCATTGGCATGCTGTGCCAAATTTTTTATTTTGACTTTTTCTTAATGGAGTGAAAAAAACAAAACCAAAACCAAAAACCAAAAACAAAACAGCATACTGACAGTGGAGTACACTTGGAATGAAACCATTCTCCCAACCAGAGCCCAGAGCAAAGGACTTGGCCTGTGTACACTGAACATTAACGCATGTGATGTCCTCAGGGAGAGGTTTCTTTTCCCCGAGGACTCGATTCTCTCCTTCCCACAGTCCCATGAGTTCGACGTGGATGAAGATATCCAGGCTTCAGGGTCCACAGTCATTAAAACCCATCACCACCATACAATGCAGAGACATTGATACTCAGCTAATAAGCTCCATTAGCTTCCCTTAATTGTATAAGTCATACCTTTTATGGATCTGTTCTACCTATCAGGGGCGCGACATCTGGAGCGGTAGTGTCTGCACACAAGGTATTAATCGACGAAGACCATGCACAATTTTGCTTGCACAGTTAAAAGGACGGGTGGGAGCGAAGTTAGAGTTGGAGGAAAATGCTATCTGAAAAGTTCAACATAAGAGAAACTTGCCTCCGAATTTATAGCTTGTCCTATCTTTTCCAAGTCCTTTGCCGTCCCACCTGACCCTGAAATGATCTCTGGACATGAATTCATCGATTTCCAACTGAACTTGACAAAGGTTCAGTGGATAACACTTGCAAAACAAACCAGTGCTATTACCACGGCCTACAAAGACAAGACTGTGTCTGAGTATGTGAGGAGCCATCTTGTGTCTCATGGAAGCCAACTTTTCTTTCTACTGCATGTTAGTATTCCTGGTGATGGGAAAAGAATAGTCCATGGCGCAGAGTTCAACAGTCTTTTTACTCCTCAGAAAGGTCCTCAGGGGAAGGTGCCGAATACATTCCTCCCAGCTAACAATGCTGGGTTTCTCCTAAGCAGGAACTGACGCCAGCTGATCCCAATGGGTGTCTTTTTTCCTCCCATACTGCAGTTTATAATAAATCTTCTTTCTCTCTGGTTTTAATCTCCCATAGATAAAGGTTTCCCAGATTGAACACAAGTTTTCCTTGTTATACACAGGCTTAAGCCATTCAAAAACAATAAGAACAGTAATAATAATAAATAAATAGAAGTGAATCCATAGAAACTCTCGATGTCTGTACAGCAGAAGTGACAAAGTTTAAGTCAAATATTTGTTTTCCCTTTTTTTCATCCACATCAAAGGCAGGAATACAACAAGGCATTGTTAGTTGTGGTGGGCAAACTCGAGTGTCTGCTGATATAACAAATTAGGTTTGTTAAGGCCTTTGTCTATGCAGAGTTAATAGTAATGCAGAAGCCAGATTGATTAAAAAGGAAGGGTAAGAACTTGAAGCAGGGAAGAACAGAAAAGAAAAAAAGAAAAGAAAAGAAATTATAAAACAAACCAAGGGAGATGGAAAGAGAGAAAGAGATGATGCCAAAAAGAAGTCAACACTGTGTCTACGGATGGAGAAGTACACACTGCTTCCCTCTGAGAGCTTCTCGGTGTGTCTTGGTGTCTTTGTTGTTAATACTGTCAGAGTGAAGGAGAGCAACTTGGTGGCCTCCAGCGGCAGTTAAAAGATATTCATCCTCTCGGCCCTGTCTGTCTGAGGAGTACGTTGGGAAGGATCCGCCTGGGGGTGAGGGCCTTAGCCTAGAATATCCAGGTAGACTGGAGATGCCTTGGCCAAGTTCTGAAGGAGGGTGTGGATGCCCTTGATGCTCTTTCTCATGTGGGGCTCTCGCTGCCAGCACCCCAGCATCAGCTCATACACCTCCTGGGGGCACGTGCGGGGTCGCTGCAGGACTCGGCCCTGAGTGATGCATTCTATCACCTGGACGGAGATCAAAGATAGGATCAGACAGGAGGAAATGCAGTGCAGATCACACAAATGTCAGCACAAAGATGAACAGGAGAGAGGGCTTTTTGCTTTTTGCAAAGAGGTTCCACTCACTGTGGATTTTTCTCAGAAGGAAGAGAGCAATTAGTATAGGTTAGTTTGTATCGTGGTTAATTTGATTGACTTATATCCATTTTTTCAAGCCACTGTGATTTCATAAAACTTGTGTAGAAATAATTTCTATGGAAGGCTCTTCAGCTTCACCCTGGAACTCCCACATGCTGTGGTTTGCACTAACCTGAGAGGGAACGGGAGACCCTTTTATGCTAAGGCACTAACTGACAGGAAACCCCAAAGGCTTTAGAGATGAGCAGTTATATTGGATAATGGGATTGAAGTCAAAAGACAGACGTGTCTAAAAAAGAAGTCGGGTGCCTGACCAAGAAGCTGTGCCTCAAATATAGACATACTTGCAAAAGGGTAAGAATAGAAAAAATAAAATACTAGAATTTTTCACTAGACGTTAATGTTCTAGTGAAATGTGCAAAAGGTAAGAAGTTTGGAACTTCCTTGAAATAATACCAAAAGTCTTGCTAGACTATAAAGTATAAAGATCCAGGAATGCTACATCTGCCGTTAGTTTATCAGATCAGCAGCATAAAGTGACTCCTCTGTCTCATCACTAGAGAAGTAAGGATGTATCAGCAAGCACTGCTTTTCTCTCTCCACAACTCTTTGAAATCTAAGAGTGACTGTGTTTTGGCCATGACATTTACATACACAGTCATTTATTTGGGAAGTGCTGTCCCTCCACCCTAAATCCACACAGGATCATGTCCTCACTTTCAACCTGGAAGCGGGCCCCCAGCTGAGGGCTGCCTCTGGGGTCTCAATCCGGCCTCACCACGCACCTCGTTATTTGACAGCTGGTACCAGGGCTGTTTGCCGTAGGTGAAGATCTCCCACAATACGACTCCCAGGCTCCAGACGTCGCTCTCTGTGGTGAATTTCCTGTACATGATGCTCTCTGGAGGCATCCAGCGAATGGGTAGCATCGTATGGCCACCGACCTGGCAGAAAAGTAACAAGGGGAGAGGCTTCAGTCTCACTTGCAAACCGGATGTGGACGGGAGCTGTAGGGAGCATTGTTTTCTTTCCTTATTTGTACCTATTCATTTTAATTGTTTATCATAAACACTTAAGGGATATGCGATTTCTTCCTCATCTCAAGCAACAGAGACAGAGAGCAAACAATGATCAAAATAATTTCTTTAAAATATGATTTGTAATTCTCTTTCTCTTAAAACCACATCGGAGCAAGATGATGATTAGGTAGATGTTCTTCTTGGATAAAAAAACAACACACGCATATTTTCTTGTGGGAGGATGACTCAATCTTGTAATTAACAAGATAATTTTGACCAGGATGACGAGTAGAGGTTCTGCATCCAAAATGACCTACCAGTGACTCTACTTCCTAGATAAGGCCGGAACTTCCTCCTGCTTTAAGACATTACGTGTGCCCAGTGCTGACTCAAACCCCTCACCACATGCCAGTGCTGGGTGGGGCAGAAACGAGTACTCCCATTTTAGAGATAAAGCAACTGAGATGCAGGTTGCTCACAGACACAAAGAACTCAGGTCTTTGGACTCCAAGCTCAGAACTTTTTCTCTAATACAGGGCACTGCTACCTTGCTTATTTACTACAATAAACAAACACATTTTTATAAATGCTCATTTTAGTGAAAATATGGGGGCTGAGGCATCAGATGGCAACAGTAACAGCACAAGGCAAAGAGAACTTGCTTTTTTTTTTTTTTTTTTGAGTTGGAGTCTCACTCTGTTGCCCAGGCTGGAGTGCAGTGGCACACTCACGGCCACCCCAGCATCGACCCGCTGGGCTCAGGTGATCCTTCCGCCTCAGCCTTCCAAGTAGCCAGAAGAACTACAGGCACGTGCTACCGTGCCCAGATAAGAGAATTTCTTTGACAAAGTAAACTGTTTATGATTTTCTACTTCACAGAGGAAGGGTAGGAAGTTCCTTTTTAGTTTTGTAATACTTCAAGGCTGTCTGATTTTAAACCTATGAGCAGATTTCTGCACAGTAGTCCTATGGCTGGTAGGTTCCGTTCTTTACCTTGGCAATCCCCCAGCACTACCTGGCTACACGACACACCTGACACCTGACAGCAGGTGGGTTTATCCTACTACAGGAATTGGCCCTCAATGCCAACTCCTGGCCTCTGAGTTTACAGAGTTATACCTCAAAGAGTTTCTGCCCAGTTCTAATTCTCAATATTCATTTATGACTTGTTAAAGGGAGGAAATAAACTAACAGTGCCTGAAAAATGCTCCTCTACCCCAGAGCCCAGGGAGCTGAAGCATCAGAGATGTCTAATATGCTTGGTGATTTCCAATGATGCTCTTAGCACCAAAGAAAGCACAAGAGTATAAAGGGGAAAGGTTTTTTTTTTTATTATTTGATGACGCTGAGTCCAAATCTGACAAGCAGCGACATCACTTGCTGGTTCAGAGTTAAGGTGCCCCCATGTCTTTACCATTAAGCTTTGAATAAAGCAAAAAACTCTGAAGGCTAAGTTAGCTTCCGTCAGCGTTAGGTTTTCTCACTCCGTCCCCCCCGCTACCCCCCCAGCAATAATGGTTCGTCAGTGCTCAATGAGAAAACCTTCTCTCCTGGACCTGCCTGGCATCTGGAGCTGGGGACAATACTCACCTGCAGGGTTAATACTGGTACAGACACTGGCCAACCAGAAGAAGATGTGGGTGGTGAATACAGACCATCTCAGCACATTCATGACTTAGTGACTATCTGTCCTGTTCATAGCCCTATGACCCCTGTATGCCCAGGACTTTGGGAGAAGGAACCTGATTATAAACATGGAGGACCCTATGTTTACAGATTCTTTGCAGGACTCACAGTATAAGGGTGGAATGATCCCATCAGATCTGGGCAGTCCACACAGCAACATCAAGGAGAGGACTGCACTGTGGCCTTGCAGGGATGCCAATGCCACAGTGCAGAGGTGTGTACACCTCCCCTTTTTCTATGCACCTTTTCTGGAAAAGGCTGGGCTCTTTGGCACACACGTTTGTAAAGCTTATTAACTCCTGAAATAAAGCATTTCTAGTCTCCTTGTCATTCTCTGAAAGCACACTTTGAAAGCTCCATTTAGTTTACAAAATATCTATACACAGCCCCATTTACCTTCATTAATACACCCCATAAATGACCCAGGACTCACAGTGGCATCTCTAGTCTATAGACGATGAAATTACTACCAGCGGTTATAGACTCTGCCTGGGGGTGACACTCCATGCACGAGGTGCAGAAAGAACTGAAGTCTAGACATTCTAACAGACCATTTTCATCCACATGGCAAGCTTTTATTGGGACCTCCTCAGGTACAAAATATGGCATTGCTGTACTTAACGCCCATGCAAAAATAAGGATGGGGTGAAATCCAAGGGAAAAATAACTCCTGCCCCCGGGGACTTTCTTTTAGCTTTCCATTTTGACCTTTACCCTACCTTACAAAGAAGAGTTCATATAATCATGATTCATCACAGCATACTGAATGGTACAACTAGCTCTTTTGTGCATTTTGTTGTCGTTGTTCTTATCAGATAAAACAGAACCCCAGTGGTCAAAGTGACTTAGATAAGTTGGGTCTCACAATGAAGACCAGGACTTTGTCTTCTTCTTGTGCTGCCATAGTTGTGTCATCTAAACATTGTGAAAGGGAAGTGTCATGGACAAAAAGTGGAGGAAGTATAGGGCATAATAAGAGAGGTGTTCTTATTTGGGAATGAATGGATACTTCTTGCAGACAGCCTTTCTGCAGGAGTTATTTAGAAGGCTGAATTTTACAGAAATTCTAAAAGATAAAAGGCTTAAAATGGTAGACAGTTTACATGGATGACAAGGAGAATATGTGGAATGAGAGGGCCAGGTTTTTAGTGAAAAAGACATAAATATTTGTCTTATAGAAATACTGACATTGGAATCCAGATTTATGACCAATATCTAGTCAGTGTGTGGGGATAACAACATATTCTGGTCTGTGGTGGTAACAAAAAGGCTGGCATATTGTGACTCAATATGGCGTTCTTTTGGATATCAGCCTCTCAAAACATTAGAAACTAGCTACCCAAAAATTTTTAGGTCAAATATATCAAATCTATCATAATCTGTAACCTTCTCAGTCCTAGGAGATTCACACCACACTGGACCTTACTCATATATCTGAGGAGTTTGGCAGGAATGAGAAGGATCTAACTTAAATTGGTGAGTTAACTAATTTGAATGTATTTTTGTGGAAAAGAATACAAACCACCAATATATATCTTCTAGAAGCAGACAGCTAAAAACACACTTGAAAAGTGTTAATCTAGTAAAATCCCAGGGTCTCCGTATCTACCTGGGCATTCACAGCTGCAATGCCGTGAATAACACTCAATCCATGATGTCAGAAACTCTGGCTTCCAATAGCATGTTCAGCTATTTCCTACTTGGGTGATCTTGGCTATTGCCAAACCTCTCTGTGCCCAAGTTTCTCCAACTAAGAACTGTAGGCAACAATAGCTACCTCCCAAGGTCATCATGAGGTACAGATTTAAGCACACATTTGCAGAAGTGCTTTATAAATTTTAATGTACTAAATGATTTTAAGAAGCTGCTTCTTTTTCTGGAATCTTCACTGTCTTATATCCTCCATGAGAATCAGCCACTCTGGAGACATTGAGAAGAGTCAACACATGCCACCCCCACTCTCTTGGCAATGACCACGTGGCTCCTTCAAAAGCAACACTGACTCTACCAGGAGCTCTGACCTCTGTTGCTAATGGCCAAGAAAATGCTTCTATTTCCTTGAAAGAATAGTTTTTAAAAGATTCAAATTTTGATTTACATGTTTTCTTGTCTGATCATTTATTTTCTGCTTACAGTCTCTTTGGGGGCAGATTTCTCACTTTAATCCTTTCAAGAATCCTTCTGGGATTTCACACATGCTGTTATAAATAATGCTTTCCTTGTTCTGATGTCAAATGGGTGAGTGGTGGGACCATCTAGTAAAAGTTCAGACAGGGTTCACAAGTTTTCTAAACCCATTTGGAACATTTCTGAACATTTCTTTTACAGTCGTTTCTCAGAATTTGGAGTATGTCACAAAAGTAGACCAAAAAAAGTCACTGTTGTTACAAATTACTGTTACATTCTAGTCACAGTCACTCGATGGTTTTTGGGTTGCACAAAAGCTCACACTGTGTGGCAACAAACACAATGAGACATTTGTTTTGCATTGTACTACTTGGCAACTAGCCCTCACGCCCTTGCTTAAATATTTGTGAGATGGAATGTGATCCCAAATATGACACTTGGAGTCAGAATTCCTGTTCTCGATGAGCCCTATGCTGTGGGGTCTCAGGGCCTCTCCAGTGACCATGTTGGGTCTGGTCCCATGGCCTTCACTAAACTTATCAGGTTGACCTGATGCAAAATGAGAAACCCAGTTAGCTGGGGAGTTGACTTGGACTTGTAGTTTTTATTTTCCTCAACCCAAGAGACTGAAGTTGTAGTTCTTGGGCTGCTATTAACCAGTTTGGGCAAGTCCCCTTAGGTCTGGCTTATCTCTTTGGCAAAAAGTGAAGGGATAGGGATACTCTTGGTAACTTCTAGCACAAAGCGCCATGATTAAGTAATCACCTACCATCCCGGTTCTCATCCATCAACACATGGCACCTCACTGTTTACAAAGAATTTCTATTCATTTACCTCACTTGAACCCCCATGAACTACCCTCTGGAGTATACGTGGGCTTGCCTAGATATTACAACTAATGGCCCTAAAATTCAGAGAGTTTGAGCTTACCTAGAGCCATACACAAAACCTCTCTCCACTGGATATCTTGTATCCATTCCAGGGGTTATTTGTAGTTTCTCCAGTTGCCAACACAATAACATTCTGTGGTCAGCCAGTAAGCTTAGTGTGACTCCCCGGCCCCCACCCTCCAGGGCATGAGCCTTCCGGAGAGTTTGATCTTCTTTCCTTTCTT